AACCCTTATAGATCCCTGAAAAGAAACCCGAAAAAGGAAACCCTAAACACTGAACCCCAAGCTCTGGTCCCCGAAACCGAAAACGCAAGCTGCCCTCGAAAGATCTAAACGGCCTTGATCCACCGTAGACTGTCAAAACCCCTACTGGGAGGCCCAGGGGACTTAGGAACTAGGTTAGAAGTAGAGTTATAGGTGCCCTAAATGGAGTTACCCCAGCTATAACCCTACTTATAACCGACTTACTAAGTCCCCTGGGCCTCTAAGTCACCCCCTAAAACCTCAACCACTAAACTCTTAAACCCGCTACAACCCCTAAACCCCCAAAACCCCAAACCCCTTATGGAACCCTTGTAAAACCCTCTAAAGGAACCCCAAACACTTCAAGGAGCCCCGAAAAAAAAAACACTCGAAAGGAACCCGACGACCCCTAAACCCCCTAAAACCCCACAACGCCCCCCCCCCTCCCAAAAAAAAACTCCTAGAAACCACCCAAACCCCTAAAACCCCACAACCCCGCAAAACTCCTAGAAACCCCAAAAGCCCTAAAACCCCGCAACCCCCCAAAACTCCTAGAAACCCCAAAAGCCCTAAAACCCCACAACCCCGCAAGACTCCCAACAACCCCAAAAACCCCTAAAACCCCACCAGCCCCCCAAAACTCCTAGAAACCCCCAAAACCCCCTAAAACCCCACAACCCCCCCCCAAAAAAAACTCCTAAATAACCCCCACAACCTTGCTTGCAGGGGCCCTGGCTCTCTTCAGCGCGCGAAGGCAGCTCAGGAGCCTCTCTGCACAATGTTGAAACAGGCCGTCCTACATGGAAATAGGGTTTAGGGGTTTAGGAGTTTAGGGTTTCAGGTTTAGGGGATTAGGGTTTATGGGTTTAGGAGTTTATCATAGGGTTTAGGGTTTAGGGGTTTAGGGTTCAGGGTCGAAGGATGTCGAAGGTCTAGGGTTTAGGCTCAAACCGGCCCGGACACGTTGAATGCCGGATGGTTTGCGTTCATTGAGGACGTATCAAAGTTGCGGATAATACCCAACGTTGCAATTGAGCGGTTAGAGAGAACCCTAAACCCTAAACCCAACATTGCAATTGAGCGATTGAGCAAACCTTGAACTTGAGGATGCTTGGTTATCCTGAGCCTTCAGACCTCTTCCCCAAGGGTCCAAGTACCCAATAACCATAACGTAGGGGCCTTAATAATTAGAATAGGGTTTTCGGGTATACTAGACTACTAAGAAGGAGCCCCCAAAAGGGTATAAGCAATCATTAAGGCCCCTATGGTATACTCTCCCAAATAGTATCCGAAACCTAAGTATCTTATTATTGGGTTCTTTGCACCCTGGGGGTTGCAACAACCAAGACTAGAGGAGTCGCAGATTGTCACCACCGCAGTTTCAGAGCGAGTTCTGTGTCTAAGCGGTTTAAGGCTTAAGGGGCTTAGGGTTCAGGGTTCAAAGTTTAGGGTTTAAGGTTTCGGGTGTTCGGGCTCCGGGTGTCGCATCAGGATGAGCATCGCTCAGTTCCCCATAGACTTAGAGCAAATGGCTACAACCTTGAAAGGCGTATTTCGTCCGGAAGCGGAACATGAAGGCTGCCAAAGAAGTCTCAAGAACAACCAGAAAGTACAACCGTAGCAGCGGTTACAACCAGCACCAGAAGTAATTAGCAAAACCGCTGCTACACCCAAACATAATCCAAACGGCAAATGCACAAAGACGAAAGACAAGCTGAAAACACAAACCAATAAAGACGGAGTACCAGAAACAGGAGCAGACAACGACATCACCACGTGTGATAACAACGCCAACCATGTCCAAAAGGTCCCCGTACCCAAATATGTTTCACCCTGGCCTTCGAGCTCTTGAAGTAGTGCCTATTTAGGTTTGGAAAGATTACATGGACCCCCCTAAACCCTAAACCCTTATGCCCTGACCCCTAAACCCTTATGGTACTTACCCTTGTGGAACCCTCAGGGTACCGTTCAAGGAGCCCGCAAGGGAATCCTTAAGGCACATGCACCCTTAGGGTAACTACGAATGGCACTGGCATCACGACCCATCCAAGCGTCTTTTGCGGCGGCAACAAGCAATGCGAATCACCTCGCCTGGTATTGTTTCTCGCACTTCTCGTGGAGCTGTGCATCGCAGCTGTCCGGGACCCCATGATCTGGACGTGGATGCGCCTGGAATCCAGCAGCGTGCACAGTTTTAGGTTTAGCGTTTCTGGTTTAGGCTTTGGGGTTTGGGGCTTGGGGGTTATTTAGATGCTTAGAGTTTACAACTGAAGACTTGCGGTTCATGTGCAAGAAGTGACCGAGATGTGTTCAGAAACACGGGATCCTCCGAAAGGTTCGGGCAGCTTCGACACGTTCACGGCCCGCCGAAATGATATGGATCCCCCTCAACACTAAACCCTAAGTTTCAACGTGGCAAGATTCAAACATTCTGCTTAGGCTCTGTGCAGGGTTTCGAGATTCGGGATAGGAGTATGCCCGGCTCTGAAGGATTTTCGGGCAGTGGCATGTCCGACGGCGTCAGTGGCTGCAAGGCTACAGAGCTGGTTCCGGTGTTTGTCGCATGGACGAAACAAGTGCCTCCTTTTTTAACTTTTTGGCTTTGGTAAGCATGTCGTGCACTGTGTCCTGCATGTTCAACATTTCCGCGGTGCTCAGCGGGTTTTCCCCAGCCGGACCATGCGAGTCGCGTATTCTTGCCCGCAGCCCTTTCCTTGAGGTCCTTCTTCCGAGCCAAGTTTAGACAGAGATTCTCGATCTCGTCGTCCCAAGTGCGGGTCTTGCCCTGCGAAGATTTGATCTCCATGCCGTGCACAATGACGGCAGTCTTCCTATCCTCTGCCGCCTCTTGGTCTCCGAGTTTTGCTGAGCAGCCATTCGAGTCGCCCTCTGCTATGTCATGCAGGGTTTAGGGTTTAGAGTTTAGGGTTTAGGGTTTAGGGTTTAGGATGCAGGGTTTGGGGCTTGGAGTTAAGGGTCGGTTTTGAAGGCTGCGGCTGGAACACAAGTGGAGATTGGCAGGATCAAATCCGAACACTTAACCCTTGGGCCCGCGAAGTGCTACTTTAGGTGCCTAAAGAATTACCCATATATACAATTTTTGCTTTTTTGGGTGTTATTTTTTATAATCATGGTATGGTAGACCTTAGAACCCTAGTCTGATTATTAAGGCCCCGACAATACGCCAAAAAACACCAATCATCACCAGAGCTTTCCAGCCCCAGGGATCAGCTAGGGCTTTCAAAGCTCAGACGGTCCTACGCCCTGTTGCAGGGGATTCTTCCCTGAGTCATAAGAGCAATCCTACATTCTACCTTTTTAGGTACAGAGGACACTTTGGGAAACGGCAAAGGTCAGTCCCCAAAAATCCAGGAGCCCTCGAACAGCGGCCTCGACAGTTTGAATGTGGGTTTAGGGAAGCTTGTGCTACACACATACTAAGGAACCTTAAAGAATGAGTTTCACTGCAAAGCTCAGCACTTTAACCCTTAACCCTTAAGCCGGAGCCCTTCCCAAATCGCCCTAAACCCCAAACCCCAAACCCTGAACCCAAACACGTATCCCCAAAGCCTAAACCCTCCGACCCCCTAAACCCTACCTCAACCCCAAGTAACCTACCATTTTAAGGACTTATATAAAGACATCATAATAAGGATCCCTAAAAAGGTGGGCTCTTTAGGGTCCAGGTAGGGCCTTGAGTGATGCCTTGGGAGCCAAAAGCTGCTACAAAGTCTGGCGTCAGCGAGGTGAAGTGTCAGCTTTGCCCGCTATATCACAGAATGATCGACAAGCAGACAAACAAACAAGGCGGTCCTAGCATAAGAAGTCACAAGATTGTAAAACAAAGTCGTGCCAAAAGTGAGAACCCTAAACCCTAAATATCAAAATGGATGACACTTGCTCGGTTGCTCTTCGTTTTATGGGAATTGAACGCGGTTTGTCTACTGAGTGCAAACCCCGAGCCGGAACCCTTGATCGCCAAAGCCGTTTCGGCGGTCCACGTTTCGAGTTGTTTTATTGTTAAGGGTTCAAGGTGTGGGGTAACAGCAACCCTACAGTTGAGGCACTGTTCTTTCAAGGTGCTTCGTTCTAGTATTGCCTCGCGAGCCCAACTTCCGAGAAGAATCTTATATACATTGCAAGAAAACATGTATTGCTTGTTCCGTAATGTTTATCATATGAGGTATGTCACATTATAAATAAAACTCCATAAAAGACTGCTTGCATGTGTCAAAGAAGAGGTCGACGAGGTGGGGAACGGCAACTGATGTTCCCAGCCCAGTCCCACTGTTCGAGGTGACCACCCCTGGAAGGGAATTTGAGGCAACTTTTTAGTAACGACCAATGCACTGATGTGACGCCCCGCCGCGAGTCCTCCCCGTGGACAACGATAGGCATTCTAGCACCGAACACTTGGTCGCCAATCGCGACCGTGCCCAAATCCCCTGTTGCAGTAGTGCAACAGTTGTATTACCTACCGAAAACCAAGACTAATCAGACAGGGTGCGTAAGGCTTGCGAACTTAAAATCAACAAGGTAGCGTTGCTGAATATTCGAACCTCTGTGCTATCGATATGCGAGAAGATTCGGTGAAAACCTACAGAACGCAAAACATGGTGCGATCTTATCACGAAACCCTTACGACACCGCCACAACAACCTGTAGCCCCATAAAGCCTTATACCTAGTCAACCCGGAAAGGATCTATCACAATACCCTACACTGCAACCCTATACACCCAATCAAGACCCACCCTTAAAGCACCCTTGGAGCAACACCTCCGCATCTGACTCGCTCTTGCTGGCTGCGCCCAGCTTCGTCTCCTATTCGCAAGGAAAAGGCGTACTGTGGGTTTAGGGCTTTGACGTAGAGCTTAGGGTCATGGAGCGCTACAGAAGTTAAGGGTTGGGGATTCAGAGATATCGGATACGGGCTTCGGGCTTGGGATGTTGAAGGGGTATATTTCGGTCTAGGCTCATGGGTTTAGGGTTTAGGGTTTAGGGTTTAGGGTTTAGGGTTTAGGGTTTAGGGTTTCGGTCTAGGCTCATGAGGGATTGGACTCGTAGGGTGCAGGGCTTGCATGCAATCTCTAGACTGGGCTGAAGCTCCTCACCTTCCTTCGTACTGGACATGGTTATGGGTTTAGGGGTTAGGGTTTGGGGCTTAGGGCTTAGGGCTTACGGCTTAGGGTTTAGGGTTTAGGGTTTAGGGTTTCGGGTTTAGCTGCTACTGATTTCTTTTCTTGTCGTTTCTTGTTGGCGAGCCTCAACATCGCCGGCGGCTGCCGCGGCCTGGACAAGGCGCTTCGGACGGATCGGCTGCGGCTCGCTCTTGGCGGCAAGTGTTCTCTGCACCAGGAAACTGAGCTTCAGTCATAGTGTGTATAAACTAAATAAGTTATAATATAATATAGTATTATATAGTATATTATACTATATAATATATTATACTAAGTATAATGTAATATAATACATTATCTTTTTATGCGCGCTGGGTGAGGAGCCCCGTCCTCCGCCCATAGCCCGGGGAGCTTCGGCCAGCAGCCGAGCTTCCTTCTCCTTGCGCTCCCCGCGCGCCTTCTCGAACGTCCTGCCAGTTGCCCTCACTTCGGCCTCGAAGCAGAGCCGCAAGTTTGCGCCCGTCTCCGTCCCGTTGCCTTTTTCACACGGCTCTCTCAAAGGGTCCTAAGTATAAGTACCTCTATGGTAGAATGTAGGGCTTTTATATTAGGAATGACTATTATGATTTGGCGAAGTATCCCCAATAAGTGTACCTGCTACCTTTTATCTCTTGCAAAACATAGGTAGCGCGCTCAAGGAACACTCCTCGGATTTGGGGCTTGCATTGGGCCTTTAGTTTAGAGACAGTGTTTTGCTCTGACAAGTCCAACCAGAACCGCGCACACAATTCTATGCAAACATGCAGCAAACAAATCATGAGTGAAAACCTTAAACTCGAAATCCTAAACCCGAAAACCCTAAACTTTAAGCCTGAATTTCCTAAGCCGAAATCCACAGAAACCGGAGCCGTCAAAGCTACATCCTGCTAAGCAGGTGTACATCCTAGACCCGAGAAAATCCTAAGCCCCTTCACGACATCGCTCTACCCATAGGCCCCATAGTAGTTCCTTTCTGGGGTTCATATTTAGAATCCTATAAGGTAATCCCAAAAAGGAACTACTATGGGGCCTATGGAAAAAAGCCCTTCAGAAACCCTGAAGCTAAACTGTCTTGACCCCGGTTTCCGCTCCTCACAGGTCAGCGCGCGACGCAGCGCGGAGGCCTTTTGCGGGAAGCGGCCAGAAGTTGAGGGCTCAGGGCTCATAGGGTTCCGGTGGTTAGAGACCATTTTCTTAGGTTTGAAAGCTTGCAGTTCAATGATTTTTCAGATATTTTGAGGGCTGAGCAATCTTTGTTTTTCAGGGTTCTCTGTTGGGATTACATATAATGCTAACCTCCCAAAAGCAGGGGTCCTAAATCCTGCATTCTAGAACCACTGTTTGGGGGTTATTAGAGGTCAAAGCCCTAAGCCTAAACCCTGAACCCTAAACCCCAAAACCCCTCCAAAACCGAAGCCCTGAACCGCAAAGAGAGCCCTAAAAACAAAAAGCTAAACCCCCCAAACCCCTAAACCCCCTACCCCCTAAACCCCCAAGTCCTAAACGGCTTTCACACCTACACCTTGAACTCTCGAGATTTAGCCGGGGCCTTGCCAAGAGGAGGGTCCGAAGCGATGGACCTGCCTGCAACAGGGTTCTTGGGTTTAGGGCTTTCGGGTTAAGGGTTGAAGGTTGAGGGTTTAGGGTTGCTGGGTTCAGGGTTGAGGGTTTAGGGTCTGGGGTGAGCGTTTATGGTTCTACGTTCAGGGTTTAGGGTTCAGGGTTTAGGGTTCCAGGTTTAGGGTATAAGTATAAGGCTTAGGGTTCAGGGTTTCGTGTTCTGGGCTTAGGGTCTAGTTTTGGGTTTAGATAGAGTTTGGGGCGTCGGGCTCAGGGCTTATAGGGCTTGCAGAGCTGAATCAGGGCAAAGGGTTTAGTGTTAAGGTGTGATTTTTTAGTTCACAGGAGTAGGGTTTAGGGTGTAGGGTTAACAGAACATGTCGGGCTTAAGGCGGTTGGAGTTTAAAGTTTAGCTCAAAACCTGTGAGGCCCT